CCCCCCCCCCCCCCAAAAAAAAAAAAAAAAAAAAAAAAACTGAATAAGAGAGTTTGGCATATTCCAAGCTTGGGCAGAAAAAGAAAAAAGCAGTCAGTCATCTGTTAGTTTGTGATAATTTTGTTAATTACAGATCCGAGGAGCTTTCTACTCCGTGCTGTCCACATTATGTCAGGTCCACCCTGCTGTGGCCAGTGAATTCAGTGAGAAGATCTCCCAGTCTGTACTGTACAATCTAGATGACATGGATCCTGTTGTGTGTGCCCATCTCTGGGAAACCGCTTTGGTGATTTTGTCATCGTTAGAGGTATGCTTTTTTTTGTCTTAATTTGAAAAAGAAGACATCAATCAATCATAATTTTTCCTTTTTCTTTATGCCGTTTCTTAATCTTTTATAAATGTTATTTTGATGGCAGGACAATGAAAAACTTTTTGAAAGAAAGCATCATTATATTAAAGCTGTTTCAACTTTCTAACAGGACTGTTGGTCTAATGTAAATCCCAGAAAGGGTGTTCTTCCAAAGCTTTGGAAGGTGATGAAACTTGGAGGAAGTGGATCAGCTGGTGTGATTTGCCCAAACTGGCTGCCTTTGCTGAGCAAGATTCCAGAAGAAATCATAGGAGAAGGGACAGGATTCTATCAAGAATTTTTTGGCAATATTAAAATAGGGTATGTACTAGTATATAGTTCCACAAAGTAACAGATATTGTTTTTGTGGTCGCTTTGGTCTCCTGCATAGACTTGATCGTTGTATTAAACTGAGTTTTGGTACTCCAGAGGCAGTGTGTTAGGTGAGAAGCTCATTGTGACTGACAGTTTGTTGTGAGATGTGGGTTTGTATTGTTCTACATGCATTGGTGATAAAAAATTAAATACTCCCTAACTTCTGGAGCTCACATTGACAAGTCATTCATTTTATCAAAGCTTTTTGATGAAGGGTAAAAACAGCATGCCTTAGGTAGAAAACATTGTTAGTCTCTCTAGAAATTACTTATTATTTTTCATGATCACAAATTGTGGGTTCATTGTGGAAGGAATGCAAAGTTAATAATGTAACTTAAACTTGCTGCAAGTATGTATTGTTATTAAATTGCATTTTGCTTTTAAAGTATTCATTTTAAAGCAATATAAGGTATTTTAAAGTACTTTCCTTTTAAGCTATTTTTTTGTCATAAAAAACAAAATGAATGGTGAATTCAGATAATATAGAAAATGTGAAAAAAAGTTAAATTGTGGGACTTCTTTTTTCAGCCTATGTGAAGGAAGGGTACAACAAAGTCCCAGTGAAATGGCAGCCATAATCAAAGCCATGATAGAGTGCTTGCGTTATTGTCTTGTTCAGAAACTTGGCGATTCAAGCGAACTTCAGAAACACATCATTTTAGATCAGGTAAAACATACTGCAAATTTATGGCATATGCTCTTTTTTAGAAAAAGGAAAAAATATATATCTGCACGTCTGTGATACTGGGTAACAACAGTGGGACATAGGCATCAAAATTTCAACATTGGAAACACAAATTTGTTTGTTATAATAAGACAAATCCACCCCCTTTCACATGAAAGCACCCTCATTGTAATCCAACACATAGGAATATTCTGACAGACTTCCAAAGATGATACCCCATTGTTGTTACCCAGTATCATGGATGTGCAGATACATATATTAACATCTGTTTAATAATGGTTGATAATGCCAAATCTAGTGATCTAAATGCACTAATCCAACAGGAACTGAAAAGAAGCCTAATAAAAAGAATAAGCACAGAAATTGATTTTTATTAGCAGATATGAAATAAAACATGCAGTCTCCAGTCTCATAAAAAAGCACAGAATTTGGTCTTCAATTATGCTTCACTTATGCAGGCACTGATGTGGGACAGTTGCCCAGATAGAGATACTTGTCATTTATATTAGAGCCAAGACTTGACAGTCCCATGAATTAGCTGTCTGCTCTCTGAGACAATACAACAAATTTTATGCCCATCATTTCATCATGCTGCCTGTGATATCAATTGTTCTATTTCTTGAACATAAAATGAGTACATACTTACTGAGTAAAAAAAAAAAAAAAAAAAAAAAGCGTTGTTAACTTCCTTCATTTAAAGATTAAAGGCTTGTATCAGGGAAATCAATAAAGCATTAGTGAAACACAATACATGTACTGATGGTTTTGCACCGAGTTAAATTTGTTTTTCTGGTGTTTCGATGCATTATTGGGCAACACGGTAATGACTTCCATTCACAGAATATTGATCATATTCTATCAAGCTGTAACTGCATCCAGCATTGACCCCAAAAAATTAGATCTGATATGGACCTGGTCTTTGAGACATTGATAGAGCACTTAACGATGACTGTATTTGATTTAATTGTAAAGAAATTATCACATATAGATAAATAGTTGCTTCATTATATATAAACATAGAATACAACCTGGTTCAACACAAATTTAAGTAGTTAATCATGCATTATTGTACCACCAGCGTAGGCGCTGGCGGTACCCATGGTTTTAGTCCCGACCCGTATGTTCCGCCGGCTCCGCCGGCTCTGCCGGCTCCTGCGGCTCCTGCGGCTCCGCCGCCAAGTCACCGNTCATCTGTGATACTGAGTCTGCCAATGGGGTAATATTGAGAAATGTTGTCAATACACCCCTCAAATTTGCCTTCCATATTATATATATGAACAGTAACTTGATCATCACTCACAATATCTGCAACAAGAACTTGACCGTATGAATCTGCTGCAGCTGCAGCAGGAGCCATGATCTTTCTAACACTGGATTTTCTGACCTTAAAACTCAAAATTTCTCGAACAAAAGAACCTTCTTGATCCAGAATCTCAATTCCATTGGTTTTAATGGCAACAAATGCCCTGTTGCCACTGGCAAATGCCATGATGTTGCTTTTGAATTTTATGTTTTTCTCAAATACTCCATTGCTGTCGAAGACAATGATTTTCTGGGATTCATCTGTAACATAAATCCTTCCATCTTGGCCGAGGCTGAAGAAGATGGCAGATTTCAGGGATGGGTGTGTGATCTCTTTTATCATTTTGCCATCTTCAGCATAGATATTGATGGTGTTGCCTTTTGGGATATCAGCCCCATCTTCAGCTTCACGAACCCTCATGCAGACTAGTTCCTTTTTCTTTGTGTTGTAAGCAATGTGGAGGACCAGTTCTTCTTTTGCAGCATCAAGTTTAAAGGATTTGGTAATGGCACCAGTTTCGTCAGCAAACTTTGCAAACTGCCCAGTTTTCTTCTCTTTGTCTACGACAACAATGGCGCCTTTTTCTGCTTTGCAAACAGCAAGTGGATAATGAAAACCCTCTCTTAAAGTTTTAATTGGCAGGTTTGCTTCAGCAACAAATATGTAATCAGCATTGGCCAGGAGTTGATCTGATAGCCTCGCCTGACACTTGTGTATTCCACAGAAATATGGACGGACGGTGAATGTGTAACTGCCAGAGATATCTGACTTGTCCGGCTTTACATTCGTCTTGGTTTGCTCTTTTATTACAAGGTTTTCTTCATTGTCACCTGCTATGTCTATTGACCAGACATCAAGGCTAAGGGGAAGCTTTGATAGCCTTTGGTGGTTACTGTCATATGCTGTCATGGTAACGGTTGATTTCAGGCAGGCTACCGATTTGCTTGACTCAAAGGAGAAATGACTTGGAAGGTGGCCCTCTGATTTCAACATGCCTAGGGAGTTGACAGCAGTCTTGAAATTTGTCAGACCTTGAGAAGCATCAATGTGAAAAGAATTTTGCCCAAAGGATATTCTCCCACCAGCTTTCTTCGCCAGCAGGTCCACTTTCTTTATAAGGTCAGTCAGATTGCTGGACAATGACTTACCAGCATTCAATTCCTTGGTCATGGTTTCCAGTTTCTCTTGGATTTCTGTTGCACTGGCTGCTTGCTTATTTAATTCATGTTTTAGGAGGCTCAGCTTGGCAATTTTCTCACCATGTTCTTTCTTAATGTTTTCTTTGAGTTCCCCTTTCCTTTCTTCCAACATCTTGACCCATGTATTAAATGCCAATTCAGATTCTTTATAAGATGCTTCCTCCACAGCGTCAACAGCAGATATTTCTGTTTCCAACTTCTGCAAATGATTCTGGGTGGTAAGTGCAACTTTGTGAAGCTTTGCCATGTTTTCTTTCAGCGTACTCAGAATCTCAGCCTTGGTTGTCTCAAAGTCAACCAGGTTGTGCCCCTCATTCTTGTTGTGATCCAGCACTGTACACTCTCTACACACTGGCACAGAGCAGGTTTTACAGTAGAAAAACAAACCTTGGTTGGCGTGCCTCTTGCAGCAGTTCTCTGCTTGATCAGACTCTTCCGCTTTGTTGCTTCCAAATAATTCCATAAGACGAGAAATTCTGAAGTCGCTGGGGATTTTGTTGGCATCGCCTGCGGGTATCTGCATCACCCCTCGGCATGTCGGACAGGGGAGGCTGTTGTTTTTCAAGAGCTGGTCAAGACAGTGGAGACAAAATGTGTGGTGGCAGTGCAGGATTTTGGGTTGATGTTTATTGTAATCAAAGTCATTCATGCACAGCGGGCATGTTAGGAATTCATCCTGGATGACACTTGCTCCATTTGTAGCCATTTTACACTCTGGATATTGTTTGCCTTAAATAGAAGAAAACTTAAATTATTATAAGACCTCACTGACATGTTCAGACTGAAAGAATGAAATCTGGTTTAGCTGTGTTGCTCTTTCCCTCTTTCATGCATTTACACACATAATGTTTTTTTCAACCACCTGAAAGCATATGGTGATTAGAGCACTTTGTGAAATAATGGATATATGATAAGCATCAAAATGAAAATAAGTAAGATGATTTGGATGTACAATCTAAGAATTTCTAAATGATGGCCTTCTCTGGATTTATACTGAAATACCCAATATTCTATTTGCATCTCTTTGAACTCAACTTTAGTTGTAATTGATAACTTCTTCCAATTAAACCTTACCTCAGAAAAATTAATTTAGTTTCCAAAATTACATGATTTCTAAGAGAAATCCTAGACTCACCTGCAGTGCCGGGGTGTGTATTGAGAAATGGCTGTGCTGTCTTCTGGAGAAAATTGACTTGGGAATAGCAAGCTGTACATGTCACAAATCAATAAGTCAAACAAATGGTTTTCAAGTGCTGTGACAGGAATAAAGGCAAGAAAAGGGGATAATCCATTGTGTATGTTAGGTTCAGTGATACAGATGTCATAAAAACACATAAATGACTATTTCATAAGTTTGTCCAAATGGAAATATTAATTTAGCGGTTATAGATTTTGCCATTTTTTGTGGTGTGTTTGAGCACTTAAAATATATTGTTCATCAGTCAGTTATCTTTCTGGAGTTCATTTATTGTTATTATTCCATTTGATTTTCAATACACTGCAGCTAAAAAAAGAGTCTGGTAATACTTGCCATGTATTTCAATTAACTAGATGTTGTAGCAAATTGTCAGTTGGTTTCTGGTGTATGTATGACATAATTTATGCATGACAAAAGGTATTGATACAGATTAAAGTGCTGCAAATTGTCAGTTATAGAGCTGCCCGTCTGAGTGAGGTGAATTATTAGTATTATAGACATCAGGTGCTTAGCTCGAATTATGTGAAGGTATCAATACTTTTTATTCATCACTTATTTCGAGGTGAACACTTCTCCATGCAAAAATGAGCACTTTCTTTAGTAGCTAAAACAAGTTGTTTGATGGTGCTGTGATTTTTCATGTTGTACCACCAACTGTGCAGTACTCTATGTTGCATAATCATTCCATAGTCTTTCCTATCTTTGTATTTGATAGCTATGGCTGCATAGTCACTGAGACTCTACAGTGACTCTTTTTTTTTTACAAACCATATTCCTTGGAAAGCAAATTGCTATAAATTGCCATTCTTACTGAGTGTAAATGTAGATATCATGTTAGTGTTTATATAAGCTATTTTAAAGGTTTTCCATTTGTGTGCAATCAATATTGAAGGTAAGATCAGGTTTTCAATTGCTCTTAACATGCATTTTGCATTAAAAATTTACATTGTTTCCACAATGGAAAATGAAATTTTGTTAAGATTGACATTCTGTATACTTTTTATAGAGTGTGAAATTGATATGGCAGACTTGAATATTTACTGTTTTGGTAAAAATAGTAATATAATTGAAATTAAAATCTAGGGAATGGGTATTGACAGTATCGGTAAAATGATAGTTTTTAAAGATAAATAAGGTTTGTTTCCCCAAAAAGGCCATTTTTATATACAGACACAGATATTTTTATAATTAAAGTCATATCCAGTATAGTCCTTAACACTAGCTGTGCGCATCTTTTAAAAACTAATTTTATGATTAAATAATAAATAATAATAATAATAATATAGAAACGCACTTTTACTATAAAACTGATGTCATCTGCATGAATATAATTCAACCTACGGCCAAATGTCTTCAGAGTAAATTTTTTGTGTGATTTTGTACACGAATGTATGGTCTATATGCAGCTGAATTGAAGAAATGGTGGTTACTTTTCATGTCTGTGCTACCGCCTTCTTATTAAAATTGTAGGATTATATTGTTAAGCTTTGTAAACTTGGTAATTGAAGAATTGATGCACTGCTCTGCCAAGAACTGTATCCGTTTGTCATCTCTGTTGCTATGCTGCAAGTGCTGGTCTGCTTTGATATTAAACAGCTATTGCTACCTTAATAGACTTCCTTGTGCATTTAGCGTTTTTATAATTTAATCAGTAATACTTGTTAATGGCATTCTTTCAGGGATTTCCATAGAAACTCCCTGAAAACAATTCTAATTTATTGAGCCTTGTCATATATTGTCTATGGATACTGAATACCATGAATTTGCAAGTATTGTTAATTGCAAGTATTAATACATAATTTATGTACTGGGCTTAGCATTGCCATTCTATGACAGCTTCACAAAAAAAAAAACAGCCTGCAATAATTATAGTTGATTTCCCCAAAAAGGCTTGAGTTAGGCTATGATCAATTTTATCACAATAAAAGTTTGGCCTTATAGTTTTAAGACAGTAACTAAATCTGCCTAGGGTCTTAGCAGACACCTAAGACTGTTTAACCTGAAATTCTTTGAGAATCAAGACCCTGGCTGTCAACATTAGTCTATTTTCCCAAGAAATATAAAAGCAAGCATTGATTTTCTATATGTATTCTTCAGAACTATTCATGAAAACACAAAAGTTTTCACGGGACTTTCATTCCAAAAGAAGAATTGTGTTACTTTTGCTCTTAACCTCAATTAACACTGTGTTAAATCATTGCTGCCATTGCAAAACAGGCACTTGTGTTTAATCAATACATTGATGGATGGTTATAATGACAATATTTGACCACCAAACCAGCGATTTACATACATTAATACTGGGTATGTGCCAATCCTTAACATTACCAGTTTATTCTCTGATTAGAAACTAATAAATTGCAATGCTGATTTTTTTGTTTTTAAATAGTCATTAAATGGCTGTTTTAAATGCAGAAAAGGTGCATTGTTGTATTGTATTAGATGTTGAACTTTTTTAAAAGTGGAAAGATTTGTTTTGTCTTGTTTGATTTGACAATGATAAAAATTCTGTCATAATAAAGTTACCTCACATTTCATTTTTTTGTTTTTTTTAGCTTATACCACTACTAGAAGCCTCATTTTATGAAGCGAAAAGTCCTCTGTCCAGCTCCCCCTTGTATTCCTTGGTAGTGGACCTAACACAGTACATACACAAACAGAGTCACTGTGCAGAGGATGAAGAAAAGAGGGCATTGTGGGCTCAAACATCAAATCTTTTTTGGGATAACTTTAAGTCCCAGTGCAGAAGTTGGTTTGTCAGGTCGCATGATTGTAAAACATTAGGATTTATTTTGGACAGATTTGGAACATTTTTGGAGTCCTTCAAGAAGTCGCAACCTGGTAGAATGCAGAAAAAGAAGACTGGTAAAATTCACTTCAGTGACACAAATGAGAAAGACTTTGACATTGAGCTGCCTTATGTTTCTGCAGAAGAAAAGCATCTGGTTCCAGAGAAAGAGGGTATTGTTCAACCAGATTCTTTGCTCAATATAGAAAGTCCACTTATGCAGATAGTTTATGAACTAAGCTGCACCTCAGCAAAGACCTTTTCTGGAGTTTATTTGACATTCCTTTCTAGAATGTGTATCACATATGGAGGGAAGACACTCTTCATGCATCTGTGCTCTGATAGTATTACAAGACAGCCAGAAACCTCAGAGGTAAAGATTATATTTTTGTATCAAAATTTATTTTGGAACTGCCCTTTAGTATTGCATAATTCCAGTTATTCATCAAATTTGGTAAAAATTGATAGTTAAAAAAAAGCTTTTTATACTTGCAGTGATGCTGTCTATAGTGGTTTCTATTCCATTTGGAACATTTGGCAAGTTGAAGGAAATTTGTGCATTTACTATTTTGTTTTGAGCAGGTGGAACTAGTGTTCTTCAAAGAGAGACTGCTCTCCAAACTCAAACATTTGGAAGGAGACTCTGATAAATTTGGCCATGATTTAAGCAAACTGGTGGACATTCTGTTGTCAGTGTACAGATCTGCAGATGTGGATACAAGAAAGAACATTCTCTTGACACTTTGTGAGGTATGTGCATATGTCAAATACTCAAAAGAGTAAACAAATTAAGTAAATGTGTGTGCCCTCTGACTCTGCCAGTAACAATACAATTTAGTATTCGAAAATCATTTTGTTGCATGCTCTGTGGTTTAAATTGCAAGAAATTTCTCAGCTAACAAAGTGCCTGAACATCTTTTTTTCAGGAAATAGACCACCCTGCTGTGTTCCAAATGTTGGTGGAAAGACTGAGGGGTTTCAAAGATACCATATTCAAACAGTGGATGAAGAGCAAGGTGTTTGGAGAGAAGATGGTGCTGTTTGCTGAGGAGTTGTGTCAGGAGTGTCTTGGTAATGGTGGGGATGAGAGGAGCCAGAGGGATGTGGATGCGTCCTGGTCACTGTTAACCCTGGCACTCACTACTGATGATGCACATGGTAGGGAAAGAGTTTAGAGAAATAATAATTGATAGCTAACAATCATCTTAGGACATTTGTTGTAGGCTTTTCCCAGTTTGTTGATTCCAAGATTTACTTGAGTGTGAAACATGGAATCTAGTGCAGATGAAGTCTGACAATTAAGCAGACATGCTGAAACTGTCGGTCCGATCGGTCATGACCGGGAAAATTTGTCTGGACTGGTAAAAAATTGGACGTGGTCGGTACACAAGACTAACAAGAATTTTAAGAGCCACACTTTTGAATTTAGAGTCATCATTTGACATACTTTCCTAATAAGATTATATAAAACCCAAAGCGTACTTTCCCTTCCATTTCAAACCTATCACATTCACAAACATTCCTTTACCGTATCGTACTGGTAGTATCTTTCTCAAACGAATAGTAATTTTCGGTCCGACAAAAATCCATTCGGTACGGCAAATTTTTCACTACTGCCGGTCCAAATGTCTGGCCACTCTGAAAAGTTTTCAGCATGTCTGTAATTAAGTATGATATGATGTGAAATTTTATTGAAACCCACCTTAAACAGTACATTGTTCTCTGTTTCAGAGACACTGATTGCTGCTGAGTATATTGACAAGATGCTGATGAAGATCCGAGCTGCTTTACCTAGTCCAAACCACAAGTGGCAGTCTAGTCCTGAAGAATTAAACAGATGTGTGGCTTTTGTTTGTGATGTGGCCTTGAACTTCTTCACCAACATTCAGGTAGCAGTTAACACTGTGTAGATTTATAGAGTGGATTCATTTTTCTTAAGTCATAAGGATATCTTCACAGATTATTTTGATAAACTATTTAAAGTTTTCTTACTTGTTAGATGTATGTTTCACAAAATGTTTTTGATTAAGAATAATATCTTGAAAATATCGAGAAGAATATGTTTATTATACCTTCTTTTGTTCTGTGTAACATTCTGCTTCATTTTGTTATATTTTTTCATCAAAAACACTATTGTAAAACAACAATGCATTTTGTTAATTATAGGATTGTCTGATGATTTCATCCACAGAGGAACTGCTTCTTTCACTGTTTCAACTGGGTGTCCAGTGGAACCTCAACTTAGCAGGTAAAAGCTGCATTCACATGATATTAACAAACAGAATGACAACTGCTGATCTTGGAGTGCATTGGTGAAAGGGAGCACATGCCCTCTTTTGTAGCATTTATAAAAATGTTTTTACATGCAAAACAAAATGTTTTACATACAAAGCAAATTGATAATAATAAATATAGATTTTTGAAAGACAGAAAAAAGAAAGAAAAAATTTTCACAGAATTATACATCCACTAGTGTAATTAAAAAACTACCTTACAATGATTTTTACCTGGAGGTATTTTTCTGTAATAGTAAATTCAAAAGTTAAGTACGTATGTTCAGTTTAAAGGATATAAATAAGCAGAGAAGCAGGTGGAAAGTGCTGTCAACTGGTCAGAGTGAAGATTTAAACCTCAACTTCAATTTAGCTTCTAAAAGTTTATAGTGCAATGTGATTTTAATTTCCCACAGCTCATTTACACGAAAAGATAAAGAAGACCTGGAAGCAAGGAGTCAAAGCTTTGGTGCTACAACAAGGAGGGCTGCTCAAAGAGGAAGGATTCTTCTGCAAGGCTGCAGAATTTATGAAAAGTTATGTACGAAAGGAATGTTATTCTGTAGAAAGGTATGCAGCCTCTTATTGGATGGTTTACAAAAAGCCTTATCTGTGAAATATAAGTAATATATAAACTAAGGGCATACAAGTTGAAATGAAACTGTAAATAGGTGTTTATTCTCAAAATTAGGTTTGTGCATAATGTTGGTAGGTGCATAAATGCACAAAGGCCTGTGTGTATGCACGTGTGTAACCTTTCCTTTAAATCTATATAAAACATTTCAGACCACATGCATATGCCATATCAGACTACTGAGTGAATTAAACATAAAAAAAATTAATTATTAATTTTTACCCTCATGATCTGGTATTATTTTTAAATTTAGGCTTAATTCAGTGTGTACTCTGGCTGTAGAATTGGTGAATACAATCTTTGAAAGCATCCAGGATGAGGTTGAAGATGAAGGACTTGTTGCTGTTCCCCTTCAGACGCCCCTGATCCAGGCTTATGTGGAGATGTTAGTTACTGATGAAGAACTGCATGTGAAGGATGGGGTAAGCTGTGGAATTGTTCAGGTACCTGGAGTACTTGGCAAATTTTTAAAATTGTCACATTTTCAGTATTTTGTATAAAACAAATGTGTACATGAACAGGGAAGGTTTTGAAAAATTAAAGTTAACAACTACACATTTGACAGATACACCTTACATTTAAGTAAACCTATGGGGTTTGAATGGTTGGATCCTTGTGTGTTTATGTTTGAACCAGTGCTACCATGCTACTTTTTACTATATATTTTTCAGTGGAAAACCTGGCCCCTGGTTAGTGGACAACTTTTGTTCAGCAGTTTCCCAACAGACACTCCTGTCAATGAAGAAACCGTGCCACCATGTCTGCCATCAGTCTACTTCACATCTAAGCTGCTTACTGATGCTGGTGCATTGGATGCCCATGCAGACAGTGCTGTGACAGCCAGACTAAGTGCTGTGACTGAGAAGCTGGCCTATTGTGTAGCTTACTGCGAGGCATGCTTGGGATGTCACAGAGAGGTATATGTGTGCATTTGGTACTGTGATATGCAGAAAAAACTTACTTTATACATCGTGTGTGTGCGCATGTGCATGCATGCATGCATGCATGTATGTGTTCTTTTCATGTATGTTTATTAAATTACAACAGTTCTTTGGTTGTATGGACGTAACAGCCTTAGAGAAAAATTCCTATATTTACTTTTAATGCTATTATTTCCTTAGTTAATGTGCAAAATGGTTTTGATTTTAATTTTGGTTTATATATTTCTCTCAAATAATTATTTGGCTTTCTTTCAGGCTCTCTTTCACTCTGAATTGAACAAGTCCTTGATAATTGCTGATGAAAACTTCAGCTGTATATACAAGTCACTGTCACAGCTCACAAAGACCACTATCATCAGGGCAAGTTTAGAAAGGTAAATTACTTCCTTCCAACTGTTTGTTTTAAGGTTGACTATTGAGAGAAAATGTTGAAAGCCGGTGGTTGTGTCTTTAATTCTTATTTTTCAGGACTATGATAAAGAAAATCAATTAGTATTAGATCATATCTGAATCACATGTCATAATTGTAATGTAATCATAATTGTATGAACAAAAGCATACTCAAAATATGTAAGAACAGTTTTATAATGGACGATCTCAGTATTTGAACACATTTCAAATGATATGCTATTGCATTTGTATTTCATGTGAGTGCATTATAATATCAGTATTCCTATATTCAAGAGAATTTATTTATGCAAATAAAGAAATTATGTTGGATTTATTTATTAAGTGTGTTTTATTGTATAAGCTAACAATGTGTAAGATTATAAACGTCTGTCACTATTTTATTTCAAGATCACTGAACAGTGGAGGGATGAGTGCCCTGGCCCTTGACGTATTACTGAGGAATGAAGAATTGGCAGATATTGAAGTTATGAGTCTCCTTGGAGGAATTGACAGGTTATTTTCAGTCCTATGATAATAATAATGTTTATAAAGCCTGATACTTTATTCTCTTTAGTATCATTATAATATTGTATCCTCAAATAATTTGCTATTTTTAATGATGATAGAAGACAACCATTTTCAAACTATACCATTAAAGGTGATATTGCAGGAAATTTAGATTATTGCATGACTATGATTTTTTGTATTTACAGATTTGCAGATTTGAATGAAATAACTGTCCAAACATTGCTGGTCCTCCTTCCATATCTTAAATCTACAGACAGACTTTCCTTGATTGAAATAATGGCAGCTAGGATCATCAGCTGTGAAGCAGAGGAGATTATGAACATAGATGGTGAGAAGTGTTCAAATTATTAATGATTAAAATTGTTTTATTTCATTGAGATTTATTTTTGTCAAACGAAACCAGATTCATTGACATGGATAATTGTTAAAACTCAATCTTGTTAATAGTTAGGTATAGTTTTCAATACTAAGATTTCATTTTGTACAGGTTGTCTGGGCCCACTAGCCATTGCTAGCAAAGCTTTTAATTTGGCGTTCAATGGAACAGAAGACAGACTTGAACTGACTGAATTAGCCATTGGAATTGTCAACTCTGTACTTGAAATGAGGGAAAAGCATGATGACTTATTTGCATTCAGCAAGTACGTTTTTTTATTATTGATTGAACTATAGCCAGTGATCCAAAATTCAGATATTTTAGTACTTATGTTAATTAAAAAAACCTAATAGGTAGTAATTTTTTTTCTTTCTTTTCAGAAATGTGATTAAAAGAACTGGGACGTAGGAAATCCCGTCACTTAATGGAGATTTTAATAAAGATATTCAGAATATTGGTGGACTTGTTTAATGTCTGCTATTATTTTCTTTTTCTTCATGACAGTAATAAAATTGGAAGTTCAAATTAGTCATCTACAGTATGTTTTGAACATGTTATTATATTGTTTTGTTTCAGCATAAAGACATTGAGTTGGAACACAGTAAACTTCAATGTTTGGATGATAAGGTTTTTGGAAGTGCTGGTAAACCATATACCAACTAAATTAGAAGATGGACACTGGGACTTTGTGCAGTGTAGCCTGGCTGCCTGGATACAGGTAAAGAAACTTAAAAGTTCTATTGTATGAATGATAGTTTCAAATTAAATTGTTACATTAATTTAATTTCAGTGATGAACAATGGATTGTTGCCTGACAAATTAGATAAATAAATCATTCCTCTGAGGTGTGATGCTAAATCTGATGTTTTCCCACTCCAGAGCTGTCAGGAATGTGGCCTGGCCTTGCACACGCATGCCCCAGTCTTGGTGTTGTTTGCTGACGCGTGCAACCTGCTGGCTGCCGTAGCTACCTGTATGAAAAACGTGGTTCCCCAGCAGAAAGATAGCTTTCCTGATGGTCTGCTCACAGAGTGGACAGAATTCTTCAGCCAGGGGAATTATACCACCTTGTTGCCAATATTTGTCAAATATTCAGGTACGAGTTAGTTTTGCAAGCCAGTCAGTTTAGAAATGGATATATCTTTTATCTTTTTTTTCACTACAAAATCCATCAAAAAGTTAGCTATGAATAAAGTAAAAACCCCTTACCAAGTTAAAGGTTCAACATAATTTGATTTAATAACATAATGTAAGTTTTGTAAATTTAAGCATTCCTAACACATATTTTCATTTCACCTTGTTCTTTTTCACAGATAATCTAAATGTCTTAAAGCAGCCACTGGCACTGGACTACCAGCTGCGTTGCCTGGGTGCTGCAATGGCTTTGTGTCCAGTAGAACATCTCAAGTCTCACCAACTCCCTGCCAAACTGAAAGCAGACGACAACAGTAACCTACCAGATGAGATTCAGACATTGCTGAACCATCTTTGTCCTCATCTGCTGTCACATCACCGAGCCGTGCTACTAACAGTTTATAAGTTATTGTTTAGGTAACTGTACTAATATAGGGTGGTATATTTATTTAAATTTATTGTTCATGATAATTAATTTATTTATTTTGTACATTTGTTACACTTAGTAGACAAAAACTATATGACACATAATGCTCTTGGCCTAGGTGGCATGTTTTTTTCCAAAATATGTAAGATAGAAATAAAATGTTTGGTTTTTTAAATTTCAGCACTATGCCAGAGCTTACATTATTTAATGAAGGAAAGAGTACAGATGATTCAAATGAGGAAAATTCAAGGTTTGTTCTTTATTTGTACTGTTGGTGTTGAGGAATCCTGAAATTGAAAATTATCTCCAAATCATAATTTGTTTATAAAGCCTAATATATAAATTGTAAGCTAATGAATGTTATTAGCACAGGGTGTACCAAATGAAGGAGTTAAAGTTTTTTATATTTATTTCAGAGCTCCTCCTGAACCTCTCCTCTCAATCTTGAACACCACCACAAATGTGATCGATCACATCCTGGGTGACCTCAAGGTTGGAGAACGTATGCTCATAGAACCTCACATAGAGGAATTCACAGTTGCCATGGGATACCTGTTGTCATGGAAATTGATATTGGAATTCTTCAAGGGTGCAACATCTGAGGTAAGGCTTCAATACATTACAATAGTGTTTATACAATGTGACAGGTGTAGGTCTGTGCTAATCAGCAGAATTGAAGTTCACATGTTGGGTTACCATTGTAAAATATTTAAAAAATTTCCATTATAGACACATTTGCCACTTATTTTTTATTATTTTTCAGCTTCGAGCAGAGTATGCTACATACTTAAAGCAGACCAATGCAGTACACAATTTGATGGTTAACCTCTTCAGACTTATGCCAGAAAACCCTACAGTTCAATCTACTGACCTCCAGTTGGCACAATCCCCAGCAAACAAACTATCAGGGTCTATGAATCTGTTTGCAGAAGAACCAGATTTGAATATCAAAGGTTTGAAATCATGCTACAAGTCTTGCCAGCTACTATGTGGCCATCTCACCACCCTTACATATGTAGCACTGTAAAAATTCATAAATACCTCCCCCCCCCCCCATGCACCCCAAGACTAAGAAATAACTATATTTGTTTATTGTTACAGGAGATTTCAGCACTGTAGAACTGCAACACTTGGCATGTTCTGTGTATTATGCAGCTCTCCAGGACATCCCTGCACTGATTCGGCAGTGGTGGACAGACCAGGATAAAAGAATCACCATGGAAGTTGAGAAGTGAGTATCACTTAGTGGAGAAGCCATGATGGTGGGGTGTCGCAATTTTTTAATTAGTTGTCAATAAGCAAAATTCAAATTGTCTGATTGTTAGAAGTAATGGCTATTATGTCTATATAAACTTGTGATTATGAATTCCAATTCCTCATTACATTTTGGAAACTGGACATGCCTGGCATTGAACAATCTGGTTTTTTGTATGGTAAATTTTACAAACCAAAAAATTGTGTTTACAGGTTTACGTCAAAATATGTAAGCCCCCTGTTATGTGCCCAAGAGATCAAAGATGTGCAGGAAAGAAGAGTAGAGTTTGACAACATGGTGGTAAGATATTTTGCTTGAATTTTTTTCTTTCAATTGATTGAAATAGAAATCTTTTTAATGCAGAAATTTAAACCTTTATGTATCCTCCAGGTAAAAGCAAGGTCAACAACCAGAGAAGTTATAGCAACTTACACTGTGGAGGACTTTTCAATGGAACTCATCATCCAGCTTCCAGCCAACCACCCCCTTGGGCAGATCTCAGTAGAATGGGGGAAGAGAATAGGGGTGGCTAATCTACAGTGGAGAAACTGGATTCTTCAAATGACAACATTTTTATCATATCAGGTAAGGGCTCGAAGGAAGAATGGCCCTAGGAAACTTTCAAGAGAATTTGTTTAGAAATTTGAAAATTACAATGTAGCATGTAATAAATATAGAATTGTTTCAATTCTAGATGAATTCAGAATTATAATTATTCTTTTGGTATGAGCTGAGCAAGTTTTCTAAATAGTGTCAAGAATACTTTCACTCATAGCTGTATATACCAAAATTTCCCCTCAATTTTGGAGCTGTTTCAAATACAAAATCACAGAATTATTCTGAGATTATGAGAAAACCTTGTTTTTTCCAGTATTTTAATGGATATGTTTACTGTAATTGTATTTTCATCCATCTCTATAGTTAATAGTTTAAATTACATATAACAATTTTGATTATGTGAGTGGAGCAAATTTTTTCAGCTGTGTGGATTTTTTTTCTGTAACTTTTTCCACAATTACAGAATGGTTCTATAATAGATGGCTTATCACTATGGAAGAGGAATGTGGACAAGAGGTTTGAAGGAGTAGAAGAGTGTATGATTTGTTTCTCAGTCATCCATGGTTCAAATTGTCAGCTGCCAAAGCTGCAGTGTAAAACATGCAAAAAGAAGTTTCATAATGCTTGTCTAGTAAGTATATTATTGCATTATATTATACTCACACAAAAATTCATGCTTATTTCTTATTTTTTCTTTTATCTTAAGCAACCCATGTGACCATTCATCTTGAAAGTGTATTGAAGCATTTCCGATAAGTTAGCTTGTGATGGAATTTGGATATTTTTCAATTTAAATCATTGATTCTTGTTTTTAGAGGTATTAAAACTGCAATTCAGTTCCTTTGGAGATTCTCTCTCTCTCTCTCTTTTTTTTTTCAAGATATTAATACTGCAATTCCTGTTTTTTTTTTTCAGTATAAATGGTTTAGCACAAGCAACAACTCAACATGTCCACTTTGCAGAAACCTGTTTTAACACTGATAAGGCATTCAATTAACGACAAAGTTGACACAGATGATCAATATTTACTGTCCAACGTATTAAAAGAATACATCTGAGGGATATATGAGGAACATGCAGAATTGTTTGACCCAGTGAAGCTGTTTGTGAGACCTTTGAGACAAAAAAATCATCACTGGGAATGTGTAAAATTCCCTTTAGAACTTAAGCAATATTTATGGTTTTCCTGTTATAAGACTTAAAATGTTGGAAGTATATCAACTGATATCTTATGGATTAAAATTTACAAATATTAACAATAATTATTATGTAATTGAAGTTTTAAAAGTTTTATCATAAATAAAATTACTACTGATCTCAGAATTTGTTTGTTTCCCCCTCTCTTTGCATATAGACAGACTTGCAATCACAGACAGAAAATAAAAAAAGTTTTACTCAAATGTTTTTTCATATTATATAGAACTTATCATATGAAAGCAAAAATGAGAATGATATACAACAAGTGCTCCTATGGTAAGCACAGATTTCAGAAAAATTGGAATAACCGCTGTTTTCATGGTAAAATGGAATTCATATGTCTGTGTGTTGCTTGAAATACATTTATTGTGGAATTTTGTATCTCATGAATGTGTTATCACTATGGAGAAGGATAGGGTATTCATACAGGGGTTGGAGATATAAAAAATTACTTTGAAGGTAAAAAATATGAAAAACGTGTTAATGGTGATAATATGTAATGACAATAGTACAATACAAGAAATCTCTCAAGAAATCCCATTTGAGGTATTGGCTTCAGCTCATCTTGGACTCTAAATTAAAGTCAAATGGTCACCGATTACACAACTGAAGCGATGGCTGCACGGAATCCAGGTCAAGAGTTTGGTGAGTTTGTTTTTGCACACTTAATCTTGTGCATTTTGACGAATTGTCTTCCTGACAATCTTACACATGTTACTGTTTACTAAGCCAATTAACAAGAAATTTTATTAAATAACTATTGACAAAATGAAATATAAATGATACATAATATTTCGTCTGGACAACTTGAACTTCATTTTCAAATGCTCAAGCATATTAATCGTTGCCTGTAGTTATGCAATGCATATCCAGGCTCGGACTGATTTTTTGTGACCGAAATTAATTACGGGGTCCAGATGACAGATTATATTTTTATGCGTTTGCACTTCTAATAAAATATTCAGGAACCAGTATGTGTCTCAGGTCGGTCTTGGGGGAATGATTGATGGTGATACAATGTGTAGGCCATTGTTTCAAGTTAAGAGCTCTCAGTTCACCACTGTATTCAGTGTGCATTTCAGCCATTCCACGAAAAAGGGTACAATTCTGAATAATACCTGTCGCAGCTTATTTTCGGTAGTAAAAGCATCTGCAATTTTGCTTTTTTTAGCCTTTTTTAGCTGGACCCGATGTGTTCTACTTAAAAAACAACAATTAATATAGTACCACTTGCTTTGACGGGAACCCCGGGGGTCTATATGCCGCAAAAAGCACGATTTCGACGTGTCGCTTCGGTATTATAGCTGATTTGCCACAAGAAAAAGTTTATATTTTCCCGTGTTTTAGTGTTTTTAGTCCTCAACTAATTTGAATTCATGTTTCTTTTTATCATACATGGTGATCTCTGTCGAATTTGTTGGTTAGTTACGTCACTGTCATAGTTTAATCATTGTCGCTCAGTAACCCCTAACCTCCGTAACGCTTTTTTAAGTCAGTGTAAGAATAAAAGAAAATGCTCTTAAATGGCCTTC